ATCATAAATGCTTCATTATTTCATTAAATCATGATTTCATATTTTCAATTTTATAATTTCTATGTGCCATCTTAGTAGATTTAAATGATCTAATATACGGAAAAATCTCAAATCTGGGATCGCCGAAGTCCGGACGAGTCCAGACCTCGGACTTTGTACTGTATAAATATATATATATATACGGAATGTATATTTTCAGTTAAACTTCTACCCAATAACTTTTTAGTAATTCATGAAAGTTAATTTTGCGTCTAGTTAATTCAGGAAAATTAGTTTCAATTAGTTGTTTTCAGCTTTAAAAATACTAAAAAATTTTTAATTAGTTAGTTGTTTTCAACTAATAATTGTATAACCATTAGCAAAAATAATACATTACTATCAACAGCACAGGATTAAACCAAATACTTAATTGTCTATTGAAGCTTCAAAACGTATTTCCGAACTTCACTTTTTCTCGGCTAACGTTACCGAATTTGCCCTTGGCGACCTAAAATCAAAATGGAGCCAACAGATTTCCCGCGAAATCGATAACAGACCCTCTGCAGAAATAAACTCATAATCCCGATATCCCATACATATAGTATGTGCAAAAGAGAATAAACTCCGCAGAAGGTGATAAAAAAGTTAATTTATGGCTTGGCTTAATTGAAACAAACACAGAAATTGAGCTAAGCAAAACCGTGTAAAAACAAATTGAAATGATAAAACGAAACTTAATTTTCATGTGAATTTTCAGCGCTGACTCTCCCATTCTAGAAATTTCAATTTGTTTCAGACAAAGACCGCATTTAGCTTTAAGGATTGCCATCCATCAATATCCAGTCTTTGTAGTCAGCTTGATGAAGCCACAGTTTATTGAAAATGCACTTTCCAGGCATCTCGTTTCTATTGGCGTCTGAAGGGTTATGGCCTTCCAGGTTGGAATTGCTCTAATTTTGGCAAATATTTTCAGAATCCCCACCCCTTTTTTTTTTCTCGAGCACCTTCATCATCGCTTTCGCCTCTTAAAGAACTTCCGGCTTCACGCTTTTGTCACAATCTGCCTAAATTTATGCATAACACCTGTTTCAAAAGATTGAGTGAATAGCCAATCAGACCACCGATACTTTCGTTCTAGGCTAGCTAATTGTTTTTTTTTTTTTTATCGTTTGCAACGCAAATCCGCCAACAGATTGGTTAAGAGCCGTGTAATTTTAATTCCATATTCATGAGAAATCGCAATTCACACATAGAATGGCATTCATTAGAAATGATAAGAAATGTCAAATGAGCAAAATTAAGAACCGTTTATTCATTTTGGCCAAAATTAAGGACTTTTAAGTACCAAAAATCATTTTTGAAAAAATTAAGGACTTTTAAGGACCGTACGAACCCTGGACAATGATCTTAATCTGGTAATCTTATTTTTTCATTTTTATGTAATAATTTTATTTCAACAAACTTATTATTATTTTTTAATAACTAGAGTGAATGTAATTGTGGCATTATTTTTCTATCAGTCATACATTTACTCTTAAGAATGCTATTAGTCATTTGGTTAATCTTTGGATTATGGTAACTTGGCGAAAATTTGGTGACCAACCCTGCTACAACAACCTGCTAATTTTGTTTTCATGAAATAAAGGCCTCCTTTTTTTTTTTTTTTTTTTTTTTTTGAACTCAAAATTTTTTTCCAATAATCTGCTAGCCAAATTACGCATATGCTAGAACTTTTATGGAACAAAAGTGCTTAATCGTGACGAAGATTAGGTGCAAAATCGGGAGAAAGTGCAGAATTGCCCACTGCTTGCCGCGTTTTTAAGAATTGCACATACACGGTATCCATGTACACGTCGACCTATTTTCACTTAAAAAAACATCCCCGAATTGCACAAAAATGGCACTGTGCACACTCTTGACTTTTCCATGTACACTGCTAAAGTCCTAGCTAATAACCTTTATCACCTTACCAAAATGTCGCCAAACTACCTGTTACCATATTCCGAAGATTAGCCAAGCATTGCATTTATTCATAGAAAACTATTATCATAATCACCTAAGAACAGTTCCATAAACCACTTTTAAGATTCAAGTTTTAATAAACACAGAATATTCAATCTCCTTTACAAATAACCCATTCCCACTGTAACACGAGCGTTTTTTCCTTTTTGTTCTAAATTGTAAAAAAATCGTAATGTGCTTTTTAGCTGATATAAAATAATGTCATGGAAGTCAAACAAGAATTCTTTTTTGGTGTTTAAAAATATTCAGTTTTAAAAATGACTGGTTAATCTTTGGATTATAGTAAATTGGCGAAAATTTGGTGACCAACCCTGCTACAGCAACCTGCTACTTTTTGTTTGGATGCCATTTTGTTTTCATGAAGTAAAGGCATTTTTTTTTTTTTTTTTTTACTCAAAATTTTTTCCAACAATCTGCTAGCTGAATTACGCTAATGCTAGAAATTTTATGGAACAAAAGTGCTTAATCATGACAAAGATTAGGTGCGAAATTGGTACAAAATGCAGAATCGGCCACTGCTTGCCGCATGTTTACGAATTGCACATACACGGTATCACCCATGCACACGTCGACCTATTTTCACTTAAAAAAAATCCCAGAATTGCACAAAAATGGCATTGCACACACTCTTGACTATATCCATGTACACTGCTAAAGTCCTAGCTAGTAACCTTTGTCGTCTTACCAAAATGTTGCCAAACTACCTGTTACCATATTCCAAAGATTAGCCGATTAAAAATATGAAATCGTTATTTATGAAATAATGAAGTATTTATGATCTAAAGGGTATCAAAATTTACAAAACAAAGCTTAATATTTATTTGTTTACCTTTATTAAACATTTCGTTCAACTGTATGTTGTTTAAGTTGCTTTCGTTTTTTGTGATAATACTTTCTTCTTTAAATCCTGTAGACAGACATAATCTCTTTTTACAGTTACATTGATTGAAGTCCTGGTAACCTGCTGTTGTGGAGCATTCCAACTAACTTGTCAATCAAAATTTTCTCATTTTCAGTGACTTTCTCTGTCACTTTCTTCACAATCGGTAGCAGTATTTTCTGGATCTAGAACCATACTACAGATTTTGCCATTCATTAATTGATTGATGATCGAGAAACATCGTCATCACAATGAAAAACTTTTTTTTCATCTTCATTTATTACCTTCATTTATCATTTTTGTTTTCCATCTTCATTTATTACCGCTTCTCCACATTTTTTTACACAATCTGTTAATTGGAAAATTTCACCTTTGTTTTGCGACATCCGAAAGCCTTTAAAATTAGCGGCTATCATCATCAAATTTAGCTATCCTTCACTATAACATATTTGGCTATGCATCATGAGCTTGGAGACTAACGACAAGTTGTTCTGTTAAATTTTATCTTGCTTCTATCGTGCACTGAGACATTTAAGCTTGAATTGTATTAGTTATTTAATATACTTATCAGGGTTTTGAATAAATAAATTCCCACATATACTTAAGCCTTATTGAGGGCCGGTACTAGATATCTTACCGCCTTATGCAGTCTCTGTGGGTCCTAAATTCTGCGTCTCTGTGCAGCCATGAGCCCTGGTTCTGGGTTTATGTGAATAACAAATCAGTTATTCAAATAAACCCACTAGGCCTAAATGTAATCTTTGGGTCTATGAGTATCATCAACAAAATCTTTTTTTAGCATATGGAAAGAAATTTTTAGCAAATTTTTCCTCATCAACATTTTTTAGCGCATCTGGATTTCGGACTTTGTACTGCATTTGTTCTCTGAGATAATAAATATACTGAATAAAATAATTGGTGCAAAATGGGAGCTCGAGGAAAGAGTTACCTACGTTGAAGTTTGAAACCTTTGCACACTTGAAAGAATGATATTTTACAGGTGTCCCATATGGATGATGAATAATGCATATATTTGTCAGAAGCTTAGCTATAAACAAAGAACTCCTCCCTTGAAGATTACAACAGCTAATTCCACAATGTCGACAATGGCACTGCACGTTTTGACAGGTATCCACTAAACCTCAAAGCTCAGTCCAAGAAAACTAGTATATCATCTGTCCATTTCAAAGAAAATGTGATATTTAGAGAGGATCTTATAAATAGCAACAATGTAGAATTAAAGATCAGAAAATAGCACAACCACCCAACCTAACATCAGCTGGATGAAGACTTCACCTCAGTATACAAAGTGTAAAATCTTTACGGATGGTTCTAAGATGGAGGTTGAAGTAGGTGCAACATATCTTATACTCAAACATAATACTGAAATATATAGTGAGTACTATCCACTCAGTGATTACATACTTTATTCTAAGTAGAATCCTTCACCCTTCACAAAGTTAATGCTATGAGCAGATGCAGAACAAATTTTTTAAGGATAGCATGAGCATTTTACAGGCACTCAATAAACGAAGCCATAAGTCTGTATATTGAAGAACCAACAGAAATTATCATAACAATTAATAACAGCAACCCAATCACCCTTCATTAGGTCTAGGGGTAAAAAGGCACAACATGAAACAAAAGAGCAGATTGTTAAATCAAGAACAACAAAAACAGGTAGATGCGAAGCAAGATATAACCTTTAAACTACTGTAGGTAACGACAGTCCTTCACTAGACTACAACAAACAAGGATTAATATGTCTCTTCTTTTTTAAACGGATAAAATGTTATTATTCACTTAAAGAGAAAAAACGTGAAGTGCAGAATCGCCCACTTATTTGCTTGGCGCTTTTTAAAAGAAGAATTGGATTTTTGTCAATTTTCTTTGACTTTTTAAGTGAAAATAGGTCGATGTGTACATGGATAAAGGGAGCGCGCAATGCCATTTTTATGCAATTCTGGGTTGTTTTTTTTTAAGGAAAAATAGGTCGATACGTACATGGTTACCGAGTATGTGCAATTCTTAAAAACGCGCCAAGCAGTGGGTGATTCTGCACTTTCCCCCGAGAAAAATACACATATGCAAAAAGTATATAAAAGAACAGTGAACCAACCTAATGCTTCTGCTTCCATAATTACACATGGTGTTGTATACAATCTAACACCAGGATCCTCTAGGTATTTCCGAACTTGTTCATCAATGTTAATTTTGCATTTTAAAGCTTCTTGGCAAAATGTTGCGTCGATCAATAACTGATATGGAAAACGGAATTGGAAATTATTCTTATAAAAGTTTAAAATCCGGCGTACTTTCTTGTGGCGAGAAATCTTCATGGTATAAACAAATTATTCCAATTCACTCGCATACATCAAAGAACAGCACGTGAAAGAACAATTTTATGAAAATAAAAGTAAAAGTAATAATCAGTGTTTTAGGTGGTTTCTAATCTAATTTTTTTACTCTAATTATTACAATTATTAGATCATATTACTTAATTAAGTATTTTCAGCTATTAAAACTGATATTTATCTTTTACATTACCCTTAGCATTTGAAGTCTGATTTAAGTGGTGGGAATTTTCAGTTTGCATTATGGTTCAACTGCATTATTGTTATTAGCAATGGTTTACATTTGCTTCCGGGCAGAAAGTCTTAATGAATGCAAAATAAGACATACTTTTTTTTTTATAATTTTATTTTGCGTCTGTGCGGTAAATCCATTCGAAAATTAAGAGAATGCTAGAAGATACGAATACCAATACAAATACGAATACGGATTCGGATGCACAAGAATTTAAACTTGAAGAGCAGACTGAGTTACGGTTTGAAGTTGAAGCTAATTGTAAAGTGAGTTTAGAATTAAAAAGTGGAACTGCTGAAGTGTTTGGGACAGAATTGGTCAAAAATAAAAAATTCAATTTTTCTTCCGGTGAAAAAGTAGCAGTATTTACATGGCATGGCTGTACTCTAGAATTAATAGGGAAACCTGAAGTTGCTTATATTTCGAAAGAAACTCCAATGATTGTATATGCTAACATCCATGCAGCGTTAGAACAAATGCGAGTAAAAGCTGAAAAAGAAGATGGAAAAGGACCAGTTGTGCTCGTTACTGGCCCTTCGGATGTCGGTAAAACAACTTTATGTCGTATTCTGTTAAATTATGCTGTTCGGTTGAATAGGCGACCTGTATTTGTGGACTTGGATGTTGAGTTATCATCGATATCAATACCTGGTACAGTGGCTGCATTACCTGTTGAAAGGGTTGCTGATATCGAAGAAGGTTTTTCCTCAACGGCTCCATTAGTTTTTCACTATGGCCATAAGAGCCCAGGTAATAATATCATTTTATATAATACCTTATTATCGAGAATGGCAGAAATAATTGCAACTCGAGCTGTGGAGGGGAACCGAAGAGCAGGTGTTAGTGGTTGCATAATAAACACATGTGGTTGGGTTAAAGGTGATGGATATCAATCTATCAAACATGCGGCAAAAGCATTTGAAGTAGATGTAATATTAGTTATTGATCAAGAAAGACTTTATAATGAATTAGTTCGAGATATACCAAAATTTGTGAAAGTTGTATTTGTTCCAAAATCTGGTGGAGTTGTTGAACGTAATCAGATAGCTAGGGCTGAAGCTCAAGATAGTCGTATAAGACAGTATTTTTATGGTGGCTTAAAAACGCACTTGTATCCACATTCATTTGACGTTAAATTTTCAGACGTGAAAATATATAAAATAGGAGCTCCATCAGTGCCTGATTCTTGCATGCCTTTGGGTATGAAAGCAGAAGATAACAGAACTAAACCTGTTCATGTGCAGGTTGGCCCAAATATATTACATCATATTCTTAGTGTAAGTTTTGCAGAAAGTGTAGATGATGATGTCATTACCTCTAACATTGCCGGTTTTATATGTGTTACTAAGGTTAATGTTGAACGTCAAGTTATTACTGTTCTGGCCCCTCAGCCGAGACCTCTACCGAAAACTGTTCTTCTTATAGGTGATGTTCAGTTTATGGATGCACACTAAAAGTGTATTGAAGACTTGAAATTTTTTCGTTGACAGCGTATTCCAAATATTGTCGTAATAATGAAATACTTAGTAAATAATAGGTTATCATAAGCACTGATGACTCAGTGTGACATTTTTATATGATTATTTTATATTGTACAAATATTTAAAATTATATAATTATGTATTTTTATACAGATTAAACTACATCTAATATTAACTACAGTTAATCATAAGTTTCCTTACTTTCAGTTTCGTATGAAGTATTCAGCATTTGTGAAATTATATGTGTGTAAGTTTACAATTGGGTGCCCCTTGTTTTTTGGCGATTCTTTTTTGAAGCCAAGATCAGTGCCAGGAAGGCACAATTTAGAGATGGCCGCTACACAAAACCAAAATAAGAAGTCAAAGAATTGATTAAACTGTGTGTCTATGTACACATCGATCTATTTTAACTTAAAAAACATCCTAGAATTGCACAAACTAGGCAATGTGCACTGCCTTAAATTTATCCATGTACACATCAATCTATTTTCATTTAAATAAAATCATGAAGCTAAAACAAAGTTAAAACTATCATGGTAACCAGAAGTGAGGTTTCATCGGCAAAATTAAAAAAAAAAAAAAAAAAAATTGTCGCTAATCGAAGGGGCACCCAATTCTAAACTAGAGCTATTTTGGTCTGAACATTATTTCTAAAATTGTTTATATCTCTTGAAATTTTCAGCCTTCGTCTTTCTTTGTTTTCATACCATATTTGTTAATCGCCACTACACAAAGCCAAAATAACAAGAATTACACAAACCCGGTATCCATGTGCACATCAACCTATTTTCACTTAAAAAACATCCCAGAATGACACAAACTTGGTATTTCGCACTCCTTTAACTTTATCCATTGTACACCTTGACCTATTTTCACTTAAAAAAACATCGGAGAATTCTACAAACTAAGCATTACACCCTTGACTTTTTCCATGTACACATTGAACTATATTCACTTAAAAAGTCAAAAGAGCAGCCAACAAAAAAATATATATAATCTCAATAAACTACATTTTAGATCAACCAATGAAATAACATAAAAAAAGGAAATTCATCTTTGCGCTACACAAAGAAAATATCTACTTACCTTATTTACGAATAAACAAGTCTTCGGTCAAACAAAATTCCTTAACAGTATCGAAAAACTTCCTAAAATGATCTGAACTAGAATCTGTATACTTGCGTTGCCACATAAATTGACAAAATAAGAGTAAAAAATATCGTCCGACCATACGCATTTCCTTCCTACAAACAGGACACTTAATAATGGCTACTAAGTAAACCTTTATTTATACACCAGTCAAGTAATGCTTTCTCCATATAGAAACTTCAAATTAATCTTACCACATTCAGCCATTTTACCGTGTAAACCAGAAAACAAGCAATGTACTTCCTAACCAACGCACACGACAAGCCCTTACAAATTTACCGCAATCATGCAACCAATTATGTCATAATTGAGTTTCTATAGCATTCAGCTACTCAGGCTACCATAAATAAACCTCCACTTGGCGATAAATGAAACAACAGCTTCGTGATAATACAAGGGGTACCCTTCTCTATACTCTAACCGAATATTTTCTTTTTCATTGATATCTATTGGCTGTCATGAATGCTCCATAAGATTGAAGTGTAAAAAGTTTTAACTTCTCTGCGAAACTATCATAGTGCAGTATTCAACAGTACATTTTGCATCATTGTCTTTTAATAAAGTTTTGTGTGTTCAGATTCTCTAAATTTATTAATATATTGCATTATAGTATATTAAGATATAGTATATATATCAGTAAAAAAATATTCCCTACCTTTTTCTGTGCCGTGTAAAATAAAATCAAAGCTACTGTATGAAATTGTGTCATTGAAAAGTAGGAAATCTTTAATCCTGCTTTCAAACTTATATAGAAATGCTTGCTTAAAAATCATTTCAATAGGTTCAAATGGAAATTTAATTAAAAGTGCCTCCCTCCCTTCTTTTCACCCTATTCTCACAAATTCGATAAGTTGTATTTTCATTACAATATAAAGTAAAAAATTTTGATTTTTAAATTTATTTTTGAAACTAATAAGATTTTGAATATGCATATTTAAGAGCTAAAATTATTTATTAATTAATTTATTATAATTTATTTAATTAATTTATTATATTAAAAATGCAAATTAAACAGTACTAGATGAGAGGGAGCACATGTGAACAGTTTTTGTATTTTTGACTTGATTTTACTGTGAACTAACCAATAAAAAATTTATTCATATTAATATTTACTCTTTTTTGTTCTGTAATTTGCCCAGCTTTTTTTTTTTATAAAGAATATCTGAGCTTTGTCATTAGTTAAAAAAAATACTAAAATTACTTGGGTTCTACTTAGTTGTGAACATCCGATGGTTGTGATAAAAGATATATAAAACAAATCTGCAAAATATATTTATTTCCATATTCATACATGAAAAGTTATAGAATTTGGTTACATTATTTGCCTGTAATCTTTCAAATATTATAATCATTAATTTCATATAATTTAATTGTAGACAGTTGTTAATGACCAAAATTTTATACTTCTCATACAAATGAAAATTAAAGCTTAACTGTTGGATTTAAAATGAAAAAGTTTTGTTATTCTAGTTACAATCAGTATCGTGTTATCTTATATTAATATCTGGAAAATATTTAAATAATTTACTTTATGTCTGTACAATAATGTAATAAATAATCTGTAGTAAAATATCCTCTTGATCAATGATTATCAAATACAGTGATAAGTGATGCTAGGAAATCAGAAATGTTTTCATTTTAATAATGAGATAAGAATAATATAGTGCAATATAAATAAAATATGCTATGAGTTGAGAAAAGTTCATTGGTGTCCATTCCACAGCATTTTGAGCTCGTTTATGTTGCCTGTATCAAAACAAAAAATTGGATGAAAGAATGAGTACGTGTGATATTGAATTTGAAAATGAGAACTGATTGAATATTTTTAATAGATATGACTGCATACTTAAATGAACTGAAAAAATATTTTTAAGTCTAAAAGCAAATAATAAATCATATTTCAAGTGATAAAAAATTTTAAAAATAAAATTTTACAATCTTACTTTAAGAAAAGTGACAAATTCATTTTTGAACTCAGTCTGGGTAAAATCATGTAAACAGCAAAATAATGACATTTATTGTAATTTTATTTGAGACAGTGCAGATTTTGAGATTCAGAAACACAGCACTATGGTAATATAGCTGATATATTCTTTAGAGATCAAAATTAACTTGTGAGCTTATAGATGAGATAGAAAGTGTTGAGTTATAGTGAGATATACAAAATAAAATTTATTTGGTACTTTTCCGTTTCGCCGGCGCAAATCTCGCCAAGACGACTTTGTTGGCGATAACATACAGTATACACATAAAAAATATTAACAAATGTTAATTCTAAACATTTTTTATTTTGAAGGCATAAACATTTTAATATGGTTTAAAATTTTGTAAAAAGCTAATAAATATAAAGACAATAAATTTGTAAAAAGACATAATTTAAGAATTTACTATGCTTTCATGGTTCAAATTCCCTGATTTGTAGGTTCGTATCACATGACCCCAAGTGATCTCATCTCACGTAAACTATGCTATAAAAATCTAATTCTCTCGGTAATTATGTACATTAATTTCAAGTTAAATCTTAATTTGGAATACAAGTTTAAATGCAAGAATTATTTCAGTTCTGTACGAATAGCTTACTCAGAAATTATGTAAAACCGCAGTGCTTTACTTTCGCTGGTGCATTCTCATTAGAATTGATGAATTCTAACCCTTGATTTTGCCTTTACTACATTTTCGCCTTCGAGTGAACGGTGGTGTGATTGCATTCCTAATTGACTTAATTACCGCGAATGGTCTTAGGGCATACAATTGAACTATCTGGTAAAAATTCTATGTAATTTGTATGCCAGTATTGAAAAAAACTATCAATCTGATAAGAAATGGCTGCGACTTGATTTGAAAATGAGGCGTAAAAGGTTACCAGCGAATATATTCCTTTTGGCATCCAGTTGTACCATTATTGGCGACTTTATCGTTTGCGCCGGCAAAACGGAAAAGTACCGTTTATTTACTTAGACTTTTATAAAATGATCCTGTTAAAAAAAAAAAAATTGCTGTGAAACTGTTGCTTTACAGCATTAACTTGCTTTAAATATGCTTTAAAGCTAATTTAGCATGATTAAACACAGGAACACACTCATAAAATAGTGTGCTTTTGTTTGTTGAAAAACCTGATTGATTCTTAATACGCCACATTCTGTTTTTAACTGCTATTGCTGTACTTTTTCTTGCATTTTTGGAAGAAAGACATTAAAATTTGGAAACAACTTTCTACAAAACATGGATTTATTTCAAGATTATGGGATTCTACTATCAACAAAAGTGTCTATTAATGGACATGACGTGGTCAGCTGAATATGGTTGACAAAACAGTAATAGATTGGAATATTAACCTGCAGGAATTTTGTACTCATAGTATTCTAAACAGAGCTTCTGGTAAAATCAACAGGCCTAACAAACTAGTAAAAATTGGTGAAAGCATTTTTTTTACGAAATGCAAAAATGAAGCAGGCTGAACAGGCCTGGATCGAATAGGTGCAGGGCCCTTTCTATACATTAAATATTTAAATAAAATTCAAATTCAGTATATACAAATATATCAAATGTCATGGATCATCAGACAGGTAAACTTCTACATAAATTAAAAAGTAAAAATGTTCACAATACAAAAACATTTATTGAATATAAATTTACATCACCGAATATGAATACATGAATTTACATATTTCTAAGTTTTTGTTCTGTAAATTCTTCTAAAATTGTTTGAAAATCTAATTTCCTTGCGTCATCACTTTCAATCGACATAATTGCTAAACTATTTAATCTACCTTGATTCATTGTCGATCTCATATAGTTTTTTTTTTATTAATTTTAGACTGGAAAATGATCTCTCTCCAGAAGCAATGCTTACTGGAATTGTTAAGAATATTCGGAGAGCAATAAACAAGTTTGGAAATGCCGTTGCTCTATCATTATCCGATAAAAATTTGAACATTTTAAACGGATTTTCAAAAAATTCTGAAGGAAAAATAGATTTCAAAGCTTCCATTTCTTCAACTAACATTTTCCCGTTTATATCAGCTT